TCAAGTACAATTTTTTCGACTTTTTGGATAAGTTCTGGCGTGATCACCTCGATGCTCCTGCCCGGCCTCGGGTCGTCTTCAAGGGATTCCCTTCCTTGTTTAAATAAATTGTGCCATTTGTACACCATGGTTTTTCCTGGACAAGAGTCGCCGTAAACCAATGACATCTCATTCATTATGGTCGCAACTTTATAACGGCACGATATTCGATCTTTTCCATGTTTCACTTTTCACTCCCGATTATGTTGCTTGGTTGACGATAACTCAAAGACTAATTGTCTAATAACAATGAAACCTGGTATTTATACTAATTATGAGTCACTGAACACGTGACGATTCTAATGAGCCTAATCACCCCCCTCCAACCCTCTCATTCCGCGAACTTAAAAACGCACCCTCGTAGTACAAACGCCGATAAATATTTTTTCTCTAAAATAAGAGCCTGCATCCCTTTGTATTTGCCACTCATGTTTTCAGCATTATTGTACGATTGGCCACGTCAATCCATAATGTCTATTTGATGGTCACCTAAAAATTTGAGTAGAGCGTTTGCTGTGGCTTCGACAGTATGACACAGTTTGGTAAAAAGGTGAGAAATCTTGCTTTTGGCGTCGATCCTTTCAGATATCGAACAACTATAGTTAATCGATCAATGTGAGATTCGTCGGGAGTAGAGTCCACTAATTCAGAATAATATTTTTTTACCATGCATACTATTTCAGTTAGTACTTTATCACCCATAGAACTAACCAATTTTTTTCCGACGTCTCTATTGTGGAGGTCCTCTTTTGTGCAGGCCCCGGGGCTCTAACCCCGGTTGTCCTCCCATAAATCCGGCCCTGATGGAGCGGTTTGTCAGAATTGTACCGACTTAAACCACACGGTGTGCCACTTTGCGTCTGAAATACAAGGGATCTGGGGACCACTGTTATTAAGACCTCCGGACGACTAGCAGTACTACCTAATTCAGTGTACATAGTAATAAAACTAATGAGTAGAATGCAGTAGAAAGCAATGAAATGTTGCTTCACCAAATATTTCCTTTGCTTGTTCAATTTAATCTCATCTTCTTCAATACATATCAGATTATTATTTTTGTCTTCATAATTATATTCTGCCATAACTAAACTTCGGTGTTGCAATGAAACCTGTACTTCAAGAATTGTTTTAAATCTTTATCACTTAAAAAAACAGGTGTATCAGGGTGAAGGGTGGGCAAGTAGCGTACCCACTGTGGGTACGGCCATGGACATTAGTATAGGTGTTGTTTCCAAATTGACCAGAGATGATTATTCAGGGGAGAAATTGATACCTTGCAGCTCAGACCAAAAGGGTCATGGTACAAATAGAAAACCTGTCAGGTTACCTGTAAAGTTGAGCTGCTCTGCACTTGGCAGTTATTCGAAAAGTTTATGGTAGGCGCCCTGGTCAATGATTGATGCATACTCGTAAGTCAATCGATGCGTCTTCTAGGATATGCATTGCATATTTAACTGATTTAACACCCGTACAGTGGAGACCTACCTACCTACATAATGCTTGCATTCAAATTCCATCGCGCTATTAAACGCTTGTTGTTGTCACGAGTAAAAACTTTGTGGGTAACAAGTTGTACGAAAATTGATATCACAATCATTTAAGTTTTGACAATCCTTAGTGGAACTTTAAAATATTCTTATCTTATCTCTGTAACTCTGCGTTTGTCTTTTCTACGACAATACGTATCAATATAGTGCACATAAATACATTTCCACACACGCGACAATGCGAGTTTTCCAGAAAAAAAAAACGATTTCATAGACAATATTTTTAACTGAAACTTCTTTAGAATCGTTGTGATTTGAAACTCGATGAAACGAAAATGCGTCACGATAAAGAAACAAAATAATAAATGTATAGGATAAAGTCGGCGAGAGAATGAGATAGAATACATTACACATTATTTTTAATATAATATTTTGAGTGTGATTATTTTATCTTTTATTTAATAGTAACTAGTAGGTACCCGCGACTTCGTTCGCGTGGAATTTGAAAAACGCTGCCTTAGTGGACGAACCCTGGCCGGGCAAAATTTTATAGGGTTTTTCTGAGATAAAAAAAGTTAAACTTCTGCCGTGTGTGAATAGCACATACACACTTTTTTAGTAGTTTTTAAGGCTTTTGAGCAAAGTATAGTTCTGGTTCGTTAGATGAATATCTATTAAAAATAGAAGCATTTTATAATTAAAAAGTAGAAGGGAAAAAAACCTTTTGTAAATATCTTAAAAACTAAGAGCCGCGAAAGATTTTCTAAGTCTCTTACCTTAAAAGTGACTTTCCAAAGATCATATAAAAACCGACACGACCGCAAATCAGCTTCTATAACACATTCTGCGACCTTACAAATATTATTACTAAAATTTTAAATTACTGCAATCAATCTTAACTGAGATATTAGAGGTTGTGCGTCCCCGGTCGAATAGGTTTATTCGTGCACAGACACAAATGGCTCTCTCACTTGTCAATTTTCTAATTTATTAAAATATATGAATGTTTTTAGTATTGAGCTGAGAAAAAATGTACTTTGAAGAAGCATTGAGCACAAGCGTTAGATACGATGAGGCGCAGCGGAGGTAGGGCAGTTGACAAATTACCTACATTGGCTGTATCAGACGGGACAGTGGAGATTGTGGCAGTTAATATTCTAGACGGCGACGTTCCTAGACGGTCACGTAATTTAAAAATAATATTGCCATATTATTTTTAAATTTCTAGTGCTAGCGTTAAATTCAAAAGCATCTACTAAACGTCAAAATCGCATATCGATCGGTCGGAACTTCGGTACTTAAGGCCGCTGGTGAACATTATATACAACGAAACAAATTAAAGGGGAAACGTTTTTAATTGTCTCTCTTTAAAACAAAAATTGAGTTTTGTTTATTACATTGCATGATTAAGTTATGAAAGCATCGTACACATTGAAGTTGACGAACAGCGAGCGAGAATCTTAAAATCACTGTTTCTATTATGTCGAGTACAAAACAAATTACAGAATATGTGTGACTTCAAGATTCTTTCATATTATTTTCACTTTTTTTTTTAAACAGCTTGATCATACGGGCAACGATGATTAAGACCCTTATTTATCATACAAGTTTCTACATAACGGTTTCGTTATAATCTATAATTATATTTTCTACTAGAATTATATATTATAGCTGTAGCCCCCCCCCCTCCCCCCTCCCCTCTTCCAAGGCGTTTATGATATACGTGAGCTCAATCAGTGCAGACCTTTTAGTTTTTGAAGCATTACCAAACCAACTTAACATTTATTTATATATATATAATTTATAGATAGATTTACATAATAAAAACCCCGGGCCCCGCTGCGTCTGTCCGTCTATCACGATAAACTCAAGAATGCCTGAAAGTGTATAGGTAATTTGTTATAGTTTTGTGGAGTTTCATGTTATTAGAAGATGACTCTTTTACAAGAAACAGGGCCCCAAATTTTTCTATTCCCAAAAGCCCCGCTATACACTAATGACTTTTAATGTTAATAAATACTTCTTAAATTGTAGGATTTCCTTTAGAATAGTGATTTACGGCTCAAACCTGTTTTTTTAGAATCAGAAAATCGGTAAGATAGTTATTTTTTTACCTTGGCTGTGCAGTGATAGCGTATGCGACTGCTGTGCAAAAGTCTCGCGTTCAATTCCCGGGTCGGACCAAATATTGATGATCTGCAAATTTGTCGGAGTTGTTGGGAGTAAGTTTCGGAGTTTGGGTATTTTCTATGTATAATTTGTATTTACAAAAAAACTGTTGAAGTATCAATCTATCTAGCTTTCATAGCACAACATCGGCTTAGTTTGACACTAGATGGCGTTATGTGTTAAATGTCCGAAATATTATTATCATTATATTATTTTGGTAGAAGAACTTTGTGCAACACTCATATGTATGGCACATGGCTATAACATCACTAACTAGTGAGTGACTCTGTTTTTTTAGCAATAGGTTGTACCATTAAATTATATACTTGAAAAGGTAGTTGTTAACTAGTTTTCAGTCACTTTAGAGAGTAGGGAAGTATTAACAAATTGCTCAAATTGAGAGGAAAGTGAATTAGTGCACATTATCTAGTGACGGATTAAGAATCCGAAATGTCACTACCCCAATTCATCCCGTGGGTGTCGTAAGAGCCGACTAAGGGCGCAAAACAACGCAGGACACCAGCACTGCAAAAAGAAGGAAAACTTGACACAAACCCTATACCAACCCGTCTGGCCAGCGTGGTATAGTAGGAAAAAACCTCCTTTCTAAGGAGAGGCCTATGTCCGGCAATGGATTATTAAAGGCTGTTGATTGATGTGCACATTATCTAATCCAATTTGTAATCCATAAATTATGGTCTAAAATTCCCCTGGCTGTATGACAACAAGGCAAATGGAACATCAATAAATACACCTTCTGAATACTGTAAATATATAATAATAAAAATAATTGAATTGGTAAAGTGAACTTATCTCACAACATCGAGAAGGCATATATATAATTCTTAGTCATTTACATGATTTAATTAAATAAGCCATAAAAGAATACAATATGTACAATTTTTTTATTTATTTCCACCATTAGTGGCATTGAAATATTGATTTACTGTTTTACCCTAATGCAAAGAATGCATCTATTTATCTCAAGTCTACACAGTCAACTACAATTAAATACTACATACACAATATTTCAAATTGTCAAATTTAAATTAAAATTCATATCCATTTTATAAAAATTGATTAAAATAAGCACACTCACAAGCCTAAATTTGAAACTATTCAAGTATAACTCATATGGAAGTCTTAGGTACAACAATTACAAAGTCAAATTATACTATTAACACAACTCTAAAAAGTAAAACCTTTTGCACAAATAGAAAATATTTCATTGAGTCCTAATACTGACCCGTCAATACAGAAATATATACATAGCATGTATGTAAAACATTATGTCAGAGAAATTGTCTACTGTGGTCTAACAAGCTTGATGTCGATCTTTCCCAGATCGTCATCTTTGTACAACTCCACCATTAAAATTGAGAATACTTGAATCACTTGGGTGATTTCTGGCAATCGATTGACAGCATTCCATGTTAATTCCATTTTGGATAACTTTGTACCACCTTTATTTTTTATACACATGTATTTTCCTGGGAAGTCCTAAAAGCAAATGGCAACATGTGTTTTAAAAAGAAACTTAATGTATAAAGTAAACAATTTTTAAATATATAAACAGTAAAGGAAAAGGACTTACATTATTAAAAAAGATTCTCCTGTTTAATCCCATAGCTATTACTATGACATCAATATATTTTTCTCTGACTTCAACTACAGCCGCCTCAGTCTTGAGTGGTGAATTCATTTCAATGTACTTAAGAGTATATAGTTCTGTAGACAATTCACTTGCTTTTTTTGAATTGTACTTTTGTTTGTTACATTGTGCTGCAATCATCCGCACTTTGTCTACATCCCATTCCGGATTTTCTCTGTATTTTAAACTAGCCGCCAACAACCTAAAATAAATAAAATAGTTTGGAATAACACTTATTGAAATAACATCTGGTCTTGATCACAGTTTTAACTGCTAATCATTAAAAAAAGTTTGAATAAACATATAATAACACATAAAAAATTGAGGGTAGAACCAAAGTGTTTTCTTTTATAATTTTTAGCTTGCCATTGTTATGACTTTAGGAGCATATAAATAACTTACCTGTGAACCATTATGTCTGCATATCTTCTGATGGGGCTGGTGAAATGCGTGTAAAGAGGTACATTTAATGCATAATGATGAAAATCATCATCATCGCAACCATCAGCACAAAAATATTTGGCTCTAGTCATAGGTTTTGCACATAACATGTTCAAGACCATAACTTTGCCTGGGTCTGTGCATGATGGCCCAACATGTGGCAACAGGGAACGATGTAAGTCCCCAGCTGAAGAAATATCTAAGTCAATCCCCATTGGTTTGAGAGATTTGGCAAGTTGTTTCAACATAAATCCACTGGGTGGTGGATGACATCTTAGAAATGCTAATCTTGGGTGATCTTCCCGTATTCTGTTAGCAACAGTCATATTGGCTAGTAGCATAAATTCCTCTATAAGTTGATGACTTTCTTTACTCTGATATATACAAAAGCTATCTGGCAAACCATTGGCTACGTTTAAATGGAAACTTACTTTGGGTTGATCAATCCTCAGTGCACCACTATCAAATCTATTTCTCCTGAATGTACTAGCAATAGCCCCAAGAGTCTTTACCACTGTGTGTATGTCATTGTACAAATATCCATTATAAGTTTCAGGGAAGTTTAGTTCAGAATTATCTTTATCATCAAGTATAGCTTGAGCATGATCATATGATAACTGGGCACAGGAGTTAATCACTGTTTTTGCAAATCTGTGGCTCAGAACTTTTGCATCTCTTGTAATTTCCCAAAATACAGAAAAAGCTAGTTTGTCAACACCAGGAAACAAGGAACAGAGCATGCAGAGATCATCTGGTAACATATGATAAGCTTTTTCTACTAAATATATTGTTGTAGCTTTATCTGCTACCTTTTCGTCTAATATAGTATTTTCAGTTAAAAAGTGAGCTACATCTGCTATATGAACACCAACTTCATAATTACCATTTTCAAGCTCCCTACAAGAGACAGCATCATCAATATCACGACAATTTGAAGGATCTATACTAAACAGACACAACTTACGACAATCCTCTCTAATTGCAAATTCCTCATCTGGTATCTTGTAGTCTAATCGAGGATACAGATGTCTAACTTCAGGACCAAATGGTCTTATATCCAAGTCTGTTTGGGCCAATATTGCCTTAGTTTCTGATACCATATCACCTGACTGACCAATGTTACACACAATAGTTCCCATAGCAAACCTAGTATCCACCCAATCCCCTATTTTTGCTAGAAATAATGTATTTTCATAATTCTTAGCATCATCATAAAAATTATCAGGCCAGCTAGTGAATGGTATATTGAGTCTAGGTATTCTGTTGTCTCTAGGCACAAACAGAGCCCTCTGTCTGTTATTGTCTGGCATTAATTTCAAATTTCCAATGCAAGTTCTGTTATGCAGTTTTTCTTTGATAAAAACAACCTTTCCCTTCTTTTGTTTCTCCTCTTCACTATCATCATCATTCTCATTCTCTATCATCTGTACAACTACAATGTCCCCCTCTAAAGCTCGGTTACGGTTTTTGATGCCATCAATTAGAATATCTTGTTCACTCCTATCGTAACAAGACACATATGAATGTTGAAATTGTTTAGGGTTTATTCTTAAAACCCCCTCTATAAAGATGTTATCCCTTAATCCAACTTCCACCTCTTCAGGAGATAAATAAGCATCAAATCTTAAATCTGCAGTTGGTTTAGGTTTCTTCTTGTTCCTTTTATGTTTGGGTGTAGTTTTATCAGTTGGGCTACTGGTGCTTTCCACTGCTGTTAAAGAACTATTGAGCTTATTTTGAAAATTGGCATTATAGGTTTGACAAAGTAATGGATGTTGCATTACATTCTGTAAACAATTCAGGCTCATATACTCTGAATGCAATATTGGTGAATTTGGTATACTCATAGATTTTGGCTGCTGAGGTATCAGATATGGCGTGTTTGGCAAACTTGTTGCTAAATGAGCATTCGAAATGTTATGTGAAAACTGGTATTGTGGATGATGACTTAAGTTTTCTAAATATCTTGAACTAGCATTAGCATACAAAGGGCTTATTTGATAGGTGAAAAATTCGTGCAGAGATGGGTATTCATTGCGCTCCGGATATCCAGAAGTGAACTGAGATGATTGTGGTCTGTTATTGGAATTTACTTGAGTGGGCATTGTCAATTGCTTTAACTTTATTTTTTCTTTTCTCTTGGCATTTTTACTTTTAGGACTGTCTCCTTGGTCTATTTCGTCATTTTCATTGTTTATGTTTAAATTTTGAACCGCATTATCTATACTACTTACAGAGCAATTTGTGAAGGTCTGTGAAGAAACACCGGTCTCCCCTTGAAATTGTTTATTTCGGGACATTGCAGATTTCTTCGGAGATTTTTTTGCAGCTTGTTTCGTAGGAGTTTGATGATCTTGCGCCCTATTACTTAAAGAACTTTTTGATCGAAAAGGCTGCGACGTGGATTGTGGAGCAGTTGATGACCTGTTTATGTCAATATTTCTTTCAGATACGCTATCACACATGTGGGACATATTTAAAGAAATATTTAAAAATGTAACAATATTATGTTACCATAATTTTTCTTAGATTATTGTTACAATTTTTCGTGCCATAAAATATCTACATATAATTTTAGGTTGACAATCGAAACGGAGCCAAGGTTTGCCAGTCTAAATTATATTTTCAATAATTCATTTTTATTTAAAATGTTAGTTCTCACAGATAGTTATAGGTACTTTACTATTAACTTGTAAATAAATACAAGTTAACTATGGTGAATTACAGCGTTACTGATGCGTTTAAACTTAAAGAGCCATCTAACAAGCCATCGCAAAACCAAAATGCATTGTTACGTTGCAGGTTCCTTCCTAGAACCAAATATAACTTTACGATTCTGGGAGGATTTTAGGCCGCTTCCTAGCTATAAAGAACATTGAAACATAACAGTTGCAGTAGCCAATATGCTTAGAGACATTATGTTAACGTTAGCCAAGTCTCGATTATTATATGATACAATATCTTTCCTGAATTCTATGAGAGTGATTGCATGAAAAGGGTGGGATAGAAGTGTGTATACGAAGCAGGGAAGCGTGAACTATTTGATTAAGTCGATGATGAACAAAACCTTCTTCATTTTAATGCGTTATCCAGGTACACGATAATTAACATGTTACCTACTGTAAAATTATTGGGGTTCGTGGCTAAGGAGGGGCTCGTGCCTAAGTGGTAACCGAGTAACACATTGCAAAGTTAAGCAATCCTAGCCAGATCAGTCTAGATTATTCTTAACACATTGAGACACTTCAGTGCCTCGTAGAGCACGTTAATGAAGCGGTCTCGGTTGCTATACGAAAATCTGTGGCAATCGTTGGACCCCTAAAAGGTTCGCCATATAAGACACCCCCGAAAAACAAATCCTTTCTTGATAGTCGGCTAAAAAAGTTATTTTACAGTAACCTTCGATACTGTATATACTGAAGAGATTACATATCTTCCTACAACTTATCTATGGCTGTCGTTACTATAGTTCCATTTGACTGTTTAGAAGTTAATGAACTGTTTTTTTCCTTGCATACATACATTACGTATTCTTTCAATATTACATTACTGTATTTTAACTACAATAAAACCCTTACTAACTGCTTCAACCAAGTTGTTATATTATTGCCTTGTCTATATATAAAAGTGCTTCCACATTATAAAAGTTAACAAAAATGAGACTAATCTAAAAAACAATTTACTGTAGTCGCACTAACGCTTATTTTTGTTTTGCAACTAAAGATCGTAATCTAGTTGGAATTTTCAAACTACCGGACATTTTTGGTTCATACTAGAAATAAAATAACAAAAGAGCGCGCATATAATAAACTAATGTTGATTTATATGGTGCAATCTAATGCTTACTGTAGTGATTAACCATAACGGACTCCCTACAAATATAATATGTACAAAATATAATTTCGTGTGAGTACACAAGACAATGCAATCTATTTCCTTAACTTTTTTGAGTCATTGATTTAGAAACTACGATCGCTGTTCCTTATTATTACTTTGTTTATTTTTATATTATACTCACTAAGTGGACTATAACGTTCTTGAGTATTAATAAGGTTCTTTAAACCTAGAAATTAAATTTATAAGCCGTAATTTGATTCAATTATTAGCAGTGTACTGATTAGTATTTTTGACGTGATAGCTTAAGAACACCAACTAAATCTTTAAAATCAAGTGTTTATAGTAAAGGTTGGCAGGAGTGTTATAGGCCATGTCCACATACACAAGCGTGTAAATGGGGTGTTTGGCTCGGCTCGCGTATGCTCGTCGTCGATCGGTACTAGTGTCGGCTTTTGAACCCACATCAAAAGAAGTTTATATTTTGAATAAAAATATGTCCACATCTGCTATGTTTGCCAGTTCGGAACACAATAGCACACTCGCAAGCGTGTAAATGGCATCCAAGCGTTTGTAAAGACTTGGATAGCTTGCTACATTATACTAATCTGTGGACTTGGAGTTTTTTTTATGGTATAAGGGGACAAACGAGCAAACGGGTCACCTTATAGTAAGCAACTACCGCCGCCCATGGACACCTGCAACTCAAAAGTCACAAGTGCGTTGCCGCCCTTGGAATCCCTCTCGCTCGAGCTTGAGCTCAGCGAGAGGGATTTGGACTCCGGTAACCTCACTCACTCAGTGAAAGGTAACGAAAGAATTGCTTAACACCGGTTTTCTGTGAGGCCGTGGTATCACTCCGGTCGAGCCGGCCCATTCATGCCGAAGCATGACTCTCCCACGATAAAATGGACGTTTGCCAAGCCAATATAAACTAAGCATTAAACTTTTAGTTTTTAATGTGAAAAATATTCATAAATCTTCAACTAGAATCACATTTAAACACAATTTTCAATGAAAGATCTCTATTTTTACATTTTTTGTGTATGTGTATACCTTTTATTAATTTTTTATTGCTGTTGTTACCTTGCCAGTGTTGCCAGAACTTTACATTTCTTACATTTTTTGTAACTTTTGACACCCTCTCGTAACATGCAAGTAATTTTATCGTAAAAAAGTTTGGGGTGCTAGATTTAAATTGCCGAAAAAATATTTTATTGACAGATATTGGTAAAAGTAACGTTATTATTTTAGAAAATATCTTGAGGAACTATAATTATTTTTCCTTTTTTTAGTCATTAATAATGATTCTTGTCTTAGAGTAAGTTTATCACATGTACCTTTAAAAAAAAACCGTTAATCCTGAAGGTCCTGATCAGGATAATGGGACAAACTATTGAAATGGTTGCATTGTCATCGGTCCTTCATGAGCGTGGAGTTTCAATTTAATGCGACGTTTAGAAGTGGCTCAAAATCATTTTCGCAGATTCCGTTACATACATAGGTATTTAGATACACAGCTAATAACAGCGTGTTAAAAAGAAAATAAACATGGCTCATTGTGATTTGCTTTGTTTAGTGTTATTGTTTGTTGTCGTACGACGTGACGTCGACGTCGTACGTGAGTGAAGTTCAATAGTTACATTGATTGTTTAGTTAGAAAGTTCATCTTTAAAGGTTTCCAAATTATCGTGATGCAAGTGCCTATCTTAAATGTATTAATAAGTACCTATTAATAATGATGCGATAATATGAGCGTGCATCTTTTAGGTGTTTAAAAACCTTCCCTTTGACCATTCCGAAATCTGATTCGATCCGATTCGATTTAGGTTAATATTGTACTATGCATGGTTATTGTATACTATGCTATGTACTATGTACCTATTTGCAAAAAATTGCAAACGAAAAAGTACCAGTCTAAAAACCAAAAACCAAAACCTAAATATATCGATATTCTTTTTTATGAAAAAAATTATATACTACGTTATTTATATAGGTACTTAAATAAAGATTGTTTTTTGTAATTTCGCCCCGTAATAAATAAAAGAGGCAATAATGTAACTTTTTCAGCTAAAATGTAACATTTCAGGGAGCGAAACGTAACTTACGGCTCAAAGGCCCTGGCAAAACTGTACCTTGCAGCCCTTAGCCTGACGGAAACACTAATAGTGTTGTCTTGTCTGTCACTTTTCATCACAAATATAACCTATTAAAAGTAAGTTACTATTGCTGTCGATGGATTGAAATGACGATAAAAGTGGAAATTATATATTTTTGAAACACAGTCTATGTATAATACTCCATAACAGGCACTCTTCATCTATTACTGAAGAAAGTTAGTCGATAGCAATTTAAATTCTTTGAAAATCCACATTGATTTGTGCACAATGAAACTAATAACACACAACATGTTGACATCAAAGTGTTTGAAAGGAGTTATGACTGGATATCCTTTAGCGATAAATGCTACAAATATCAAAGTAACTGAAGTAGACTTTAATCCAGAATTTATAACCCGCGTCATACCAAAATTAGATTGGGAAGTACTTTGGACGGCTGCGAACAGCATCGGTCACGGCGAAGGTTTGCCTAAAATTCTGGAGCCTAAATATGAAGACAATGAGGAACTTTTGAAGAAAGTTCATAGAGTATTATTAGAGGTTGAAATTGAGGAAGGTAATCTTACTTGCCCGGAATCTGGCAGACAGTTTCCTATTTCTAAAGGTATTCCAAATATGTTACTAACAGAAGCAGAAGTACAATAAAATATATTTATACTGTGATTTTTTACGATATTACTTTAGCTATGTGTGTACAGCAATTTGTCTGATTTGATTGTTTTTTTTTATGCAACATGGTTTCATTTCAATAAATGGAATCTTATTTTGCAGATTTATGATGTTACTCATCATCATCTTATCCTTTTCCTCATTTCGTTTAGCATCAGCTAAATGCTCATATTAAGCTAAACCTAAACAAAATAAGAACATTGCAAAAGAATTTGACTGATTGTTAGGGTTCCGTAGTGGTCTGACCGTCTGACACCAGGCTGTATCTCATGAACCGTGATAGTTAGATATTTGAAATTTACATAGATGATGTATTTCTGTTGCCGCTATAACAACAAATAACAAAAAAGAGAATAAAATAAATGTTCAAGGGGGGACCATACAACAAACATGTTTTATATTTGCTTGTATTCGCTCCATATTGATAATGGCAACAGGTAGAAGCTTGAAATATTCACAGAATATTTTTATATATTCACTTTAAAAAATTAATAAATAAATTAAAAAAGATATTGAAGTGGGGCTCCCATACAACATACATGATTTTTTCGCTGTTTTATAGATAAAGGTATGTGAGTTTTAAAGGTTTATTGCTAGTGAATATAAAAAAGGTAATAATTAGTTATTTGGTCAAAGGAAGAAGGTAAGTTGGTTAGGGATACAAATAGGTCAGGAACCAATCGGAGATTCTGCATGTTTTATTCTGCCTGTCATTTTGACAGGCTTCCAGTGACAACTAAAAATATAAAAATAAAATAACTGTCATTGGCATATGCAAAAAATGCAATGCATCACATACCGCTGCTCATACTTATCTATGTGTTTCATTGCATTTTTTGTTCCAAGTATCCCCATAAAAATTATTCCAGAAAGACAAGGGCCTTGCAACGATTTACGAGCCCAGGACCCAGAAATAATATCTACCTGCCCAGGGCCTAGTAATGGCTAAGGCTTCTAGAAGAAGGTAATCCATGCCCCGGTTCCATATTATTTACTTAGACTATATAAGTCTAGACAGTCAGTCAAAGTTGTGAATCCAGAGAAAAAGTAGAATCCAACTGTTGGTCTCTAAATGCTCTTTAATATCAGATGCACTATCACTGGATACACACATGTTGATTTTATATTTTAACTGCACAGATGGCATAGTGCTTTAAGTGATCAGTGATGACTTTGCTGTTTCCTACTATGCTGAGTTTTATGGGTTCAATTCCAGCATGCGACAACACTGTCCCCCACAACACAGGATATTAGACTTGCAACGAATAGTATATTCGGCAGTATACCGAATACCGAATATTCGGCGAGGCCCCTGACCGAATAGCCGAATATTAGGCAAAAGTATTCGGCTGGATTTTAGCGCCAAAAACTTGTACAGACGTGAATTAAATTATGTACCTGTTTTATGTACCAATGACTAATTAATAAATGATTATAAAAGAAATAAGAACCTTACCCTTCTAAATTTTGATTACCACAATAATTCAGAAACATAAAATCCTCCATTTTTCCAATTCAGAAGATGATTATGTACCTGTGTTATGCACCAAGGACTACTTAAATGATTATCACAGAAATGAAAATATGAATATATACGTAATCAATCGATTTTAATTTTTCATTTTACCAATTATTTCTCAATGACAAAATATATTATTTAAGTATTCGGTATTCGGCCGAATAATATGTAGATATTCGGTATTCGGCCGAATATAATAAAAGCAGCCGAATACCGAATAGTAACCGAATATTCGTTGCAAGTCTACAGGATATACAACACTTAGAAAAAAAAGTGTTATTTATAATAACGATTTGTGTGATAAAAGTGTGGAGAAGTAATAAAGGATGATTAATTAAAATAAAAAATGTTTTATTATCGGTAAGTACCATTGTTTTGTATCTGTTTAAACAAAATAAGCCATTAAATTATTTCTAAAATAAATTATTGCTGAGTGGCGATCTCAATAATAATTTATGTGTGTTTGCGCTCGCCAACCCGCCTGCCCAGTTAAGGGCAAACCTCCCTATACAGACGAGTCTTTAATCAGTGCGTCCTACCCGTCATGACATACGGAGTCAAAACGTGGATGCAAGAAGTCGAAAACTTTTTAAGTGGCGTGCAATGGGGGAGGCCTATGTCCAGCAGTGGACTGCGATAGGCTGATGATGATGTAGAGCCAGGTATAATTTACCAGGTTTAAATGAAACAATATAAAAATTTGTAATGATTGTTTATTTTATCTGAACAATAAATTATAGTAGGTATAATCACACTACACCGGTAATTTCTCGTTTATTTCGCTATTAAATAAAAATGATTTATCAACTACGCAGAAAATTTATAATTCGTCTGCATATGGTACAAATGCTAGATTTCCAGCGCATCCCATGGAGATTCTGGAGCTGCATACACTTGACAGAACCTGGAAAAAGTAATTTTAAATAAAATAAAATCTAATTACAACAAAAAACAATCCTTTCTTTATAAGTAAGCTCTCGAAAACGAAAACCTTTGCAGTGTAGAAATAAATGTGGAAGCATAATATGATAAGAAAATAGTGACGCAGCGATCACATTCGGCTCACCAATCAGGTTACAAGCTTGGACCCTGATCGGTGCGTCACTATTTTCTTAACGCGAATGGACTATAGTCAGTACAATAGCAGTAATTTAGATATTTTAGTTTGTCTCATGTAAGACAAAGTAAATTATCTAAAAATTGGCGTAAACCGCACCTAAAAAAGTTATGGTAGCCTGTATAGAAAATTCACAGCAGCTGTATTGATCAAATGTATCATAACCATTTTTGTACAATGACAATTTCATTATAATGCATATTGTAGTTTAGCTAGGTAAAGCTAAATTTATAATATACATTATGCATAGATTAAACATTGATATAGTTTTTTAAAGATTCTACATAATTCATCATCAGGGCATCTTATTCTTAGTGCCGTATACAGTTTATGTTTTTTTAAATTCAATTTAAGCTAGCATCTACTACTACTTACAAAATTGATCTTTAAACATTGCCTTAAATACTGAACATCAGTCCAAATACTTAATCTGGATTATGTGATAAATAAATCGAACATACATTTATAACATCATTGTTTGACAGTTGGTCAATGCTTCTGGCGATCTCAGACGGACTTGACACTTTCCCACAGTAAAGACCTTGAGCTGCTAATGCCTCAGCAAGAGATGTGCCTGCATCAGCCTCGCTCAGGACCTGGAGTTTCAACTGATTTTTGCCAGCCATGATGGCGTTTGCGTTTAACGCGGGATTCTTAAGAACACCTGCAGCAGCCTTGACAGCCTGAAAAAAATATTAATTTGCAATGATTAATTACCAAGGTACCTTTTTTTTTAGCGTCACCAAGTCGTATATATAGGTGGCTCAGAGTTAGGGTCGGTTACACGTGCGTGATATTCGTGTTGTTTTACGGCTGGGTGATGACAGATTAGTCACACAATTTCTGCATGTACACAATTGCTATTATATCTGTTAATAAACATGAGAATAAAAATTACGGTCACACACCTAACATTGTATCCTTCTCCCAAGAGAACCGACATAGTGTTTTCAGTGCTACTCATAGAAGGTAGGCTTACAATCTGTTCTAATTGTTAATTTAGACTTAAGATTTGTAGTGTGGGATTTTGTAAAAGATTTTAGAAAGGGTTGATGCAGGTTTAAAAACTTTGGTTTAGAGCTGATAATAGTAATAGCAAAAAAAATCTGATTCTTGTCACGTCAGATTCGTAAATTCGTACGAATTTGTGCAACTAAATACACTTTATTTTTATTTATTGTCCTGTAGAAAATTTGACATATCACAGTAATACCTAACCAAGTTTGGTGTTATTAATTTGAAAAGCCGGGTAACCTTACTCCCCAGTAAACGGGTAAAGGTATTGTTAATATTACTTTCTGCCAAATTAAATTATTATGAGATAGTACTAACTGTTTTAGCTTCATCTTTAGGTACAGTAAGCACAACACCGAAGAGCCCACCGTCGGAGTAGGATACGTTAAATCCTGCCGCCGCAAATGGTCCGATGTTGCCAATAGCCTTGCCCAAAACCGAGTTGTCAGAACCCCACTTGGTGACTGGACCACAGCCTAAAGCTAGAATTGAAGAGCAATATATTATGAAATGATTAAATTGCAATATTTTGATTCAGATTAAACTTTTTTATATATGCATTATGAACTTAAGATATTATATTTACCTTTGGCAGCAGCAGCCAAAGCAAGTGCTTGAGGTGTGCCAGCAGGTGCACCTTGTACAGCAATAGTCACGTGGGCGAAATCGCCACCCATTTCTTTCCTGCAAGTAAAATGTATATTTTAACTGAATATTTAAAGAAACGGTACAGGTAAATTTGAAAGTAGGTGTCGTGTAGGTAATATTTTAGCTCATAAAAAGCTTGTTTACCAATAAAACATATTTGTTGCATGTTTTTTTTAAAGATAGGTAATGAAGTTATCAAATATTGCATCATTAATATCAATGTCACATGATTTTTTTTCTATATTTTGCTTAATTCAGTCTCATGTAATTTCTAACTGTGTTTTGAATAAATACGTAGATTGTGTCTTAAAGTAAACTGTGTTAAAGAGTCCTGATATTGTTTCTTAAGATAGAAATGTCTTGCGAGTCTTTCACCATGCTCATTGTGAATGTCGAAAAAGGCCTCAAAACGTCAAAACCAGCCATAATAATATTTTTATAATACTCAGATTGGTAACTACCAAAACTACAACTACTAACTACAAACCATTTGGGAGTCTATTACTCTTAGACTCCTTTTATCATTTTGCCTCTATTATCTCCAATGTAAAGACAATGTCTTAAACAATAGGCTAGTTACAATGGTAACTAGCCTATCTACTTACAAGTAAATTATTTAAATAGAACACAACTAGTCTATACCTGATTTCTCCTCCATGATATTTGGTGGGTTGACCTAAATTATTGCTACCCTCGCCCAACTTAAGCAGTTGACCCAAAGTATTTGCCTTATCCTGTAACATAATATAAAAATTTAGTACTTGAGTGGCAGCAGAGCTGTGTTGAAAGAGTGTTTATTATTCTTTTTACTGTGTCTTACTAATACTTACTTCACTCTTCATATTGACAGGTTTTTATTAAAATGTTATTATAAACTATAAGGAGTAAGGCAATGAAGATTTTGAGACAGAAGAAATGTCTCTGAACATGTACTTTGTAAACCATTAATTTTTTTTAATACCGGTGCTATAGAAGTTCTGATGGAAATCTATGAACTTCTAATAGAAGTTTGTGACCATCTGACCAGTTTTAAATTGTTCCAAAATATTTAATTCTTCTAAATTCCAGAATGTTATTAGCCAAGTTTTTGTGAGATATCTTTGAATACCTAAATAACTATTGTTGTTATATTTGAATTTTTTCTTTACTTTTTAGAAGCTACTACTGATTAAAGTGGAATAAGAGATGTAACTTCACAAACCAGTCAATACTAAAAAGCAGTAATTGCATTGATTATGATTATAATATAGATTAGTTTACATATAAGAAAACACTAGTAAATTAAAAGAAATTAAATAAATACATTCTTAGTATTATTGTTTCAAATGTTTAAATTCTAAGATAATTTTATTATAGAAAATAAGTGTTAACTAAAATATTACTATACCAAAGTGTCTCCAACAACAGTAATAGCACAATGACCCAATGCTACATTGGTGCTGGCAAAATGTTGTAAAGATTCAGAAGAAATCTTGCCAATTCTTCTTGGTGAGATAAACAGAGAGTTACCCAAACCACGGCGAAAAGCTGCTTTGTGTAGCAGATCTACAGCACGGACCTATAAATTTAAAATACAATATGTGTTTTTGGAATGAATTGGCTATCCAAAATGGGCTTTTACACTACAGTAATAGGATTGTCGTCTTACTGCACTGGACTTTGACTCTGCTGCAGCAAGATAGCACTATTAGCATAATCATTCAGCCCTTATTGCATGATGTTTATTTGTCATATATACATTATGCATGAGGTGGACTAAGTACTATGTGTATAAAAGAAATCAAATAGCCTATTGGAATCCTTTTATTAAGACTAGTGAACTCCTTGAATGCTTTCGTGTTTAAAAAGTTTTAATATGGAGTAATAAATAAATTTTTAGTCTTAATATCTTAAAACTCAAATATGATAAGAATGAAATGGGTGAAAATAAATACAGTTAGCTGCTTGAAGAATACAATATTTATTGGAAAATCTGAAACAAATGCTTGGCAATGAAAACTGAAGATAGAATCAAAATGTCAACTTGCGGGATTGATTCTGATTCTTTTTTATTTTATTATCATAGGCTTGTTAGGAATCAGATAGCCATGTAAGATGTCTCAAGTAATAAAAAAATATATGAACACTCACCTGAGGAGGAAGAGCAGCAATATCATACTTTAGACGGCTCAGATTGTCATCTAACTCCCATGGCCTGAACTCCTGGTTAGACACTATGTTGTTCAATAATTCCAAGGCAGGTTGCAAGTTGTCCTGGGTAGCCTGAAAGTTATGACCGATAAATATTAATCAACTATCTCACACATCTGATATAGCTGTCAACTGTATATTTATAAATAATCTGTAGTGAACTTATTAAACCTAACACATATGGCATATTGCCAGCAATAAGCATTCGAAAAATAGTATAATAAGTGAAACCAATTATTATTATTTACAATTAAATCAATACTAATATTATAAATGAAAAAAAGTGTGCCTATCTGTTACTCTTCATTCTTAAACTGCTGAACCGTTTTAGATGAAACTTTGTATAGAGACACTCAGTCTTTGAGGAAGAAAGGCAAAAGCTACTTTTTACCGTGATAACTGATATATATGTGGGCGGAGCCGCAGGCAAAAGCTAGGATTTCATATTTATAGTAACTGCTTTTAGTAATTGTTATAAGTTCTTATTGGTCTTGTTTCAATAAGTTTTATAAAGTTGGCATTTATAACACATTTTATGATTACCTCCAGAGTATAGTAAATAAATTCACGGTCTCCAGAAGCAGACACAGAAGCACCCAGTTGGGCCAATTTTCGAGCAATGATGAAACTGCTAGCATTCTTAGTAGTGAGGCCAGCAGCAGATCGAAGGACATGGGAGATTCCCAACTCTGTTTGAGGTTCATAGCGTGCACCAGCCCTGAAATTGAGCAAACATTAATACTCATTTAATTATTATTTTTCAAATTATAGTTAAAGTAAAATTATTTTCTAAATTCTGATTCTATTTCAACTCAACAGAAAGTAATAACATTCTAATTTACCTGAATGCTACAGTAACCCGAGTTACAGGAGCACCATTGTCAATGGCAGCAACGAATACTTTATTTGGTAGAACCGCACTCGAGATTTTCGGCTCGCTCCTGATGTGAGCAGCCGCCTGGGCGTAGCCCCTGGCCTGAAAAGCGAAAAAAACATATTTCTAAATCGATTAAAGAACACACAAATTACCACTGGTTTACATAACAGGGGTTTGACAGATCGAATCTGAATTTGCTTTAGACTGATATTTGAAGATAAAGTACTTAGTTTTAATTAGTTGCTTTTCAGGTAAACTTACGGTAACTTGTCGAATTATGGGAGCTACAAAAGCTTTCGATGCCATTATATCGAATTTCCTGATTTATTCTCGCGTTACAATCTGTAGCACGTCGGTTAAATGTCAATGCCAGTCAATGGGAAACCTGCCATAAGTCAAATTTCTTCGCTTAATTTGACAAATTATATCCAGTGTTGCAATTGAAAGAGGCCACAAAGTTACTACATAGTGCTAACTAAAGTAACTACAATGAAACAACATTCATTTTAAAGTTGAAGTAGTACTGGTAAATATAAAAACTTGGAATTACTGTGAGTCCGAACAGACAGCATAAAATTAGTGCTGCATAACAATCGTAACAGCCGTAGTAATCAAGGCAGCACGTCTTGCTTACTACAACTACGTTGCTTATTACTGCTACTAAAATAAAATGTTAATTGTTTACTGTTTTGATGTAGCACTACAGTAACTATTAGTAATTAAGAAGACAATTCTATTACTGTAGTCTAAAATCCGATTTTGAATGAAATTGTAACTCAATAACATTCTAGTAAAACTAGTACATCGTATATTGAAACGGAACAATTTATACCCGAATCATGTACAGTGCACAATACAACGAATACGTCCTGCTTATTATCAGTGACAAATCAATTTCTGTCGACAGATTTGTAACTCCTGAAAGGGAAGCTTTTTAACTCCATAGTAATATTTTGGAGTGATGATGATGAATCATGTTTTAAATGAACTGGAGGTTTAACTAATAAATACAATCTTAGTCATTGGAGTGTTTTGGATCCCCGAATAATAAAAAACACATCAATGTCGGCATCAATTTGGAGTAAATTTATTTTTTCTGTTGCAGTTTCGGTAAAAATTGCACGTTTTATTTTTTAATTATCATGTTCCTGGAAAGTACACTTCAATATCATTTTAATTAGGAATACTTATCTATTCTTAACTACCATGAACAAAAGATAACAAATATTAAGTAATCGTTTTATTTTTATTTTGTGTACTATGTACAGTTAACTTAATATTATTAAGACAGTTTTAACTTAATATTATTAACAAGATAATAAAAATCATAACTACTAAACTACAAGATCTAGGACAATAAACTATAGTGTTTTCTATGATAAAATTTCTGTATGTTCCCCATACCTCGTTGGTCCTCTACTTACGGAACATCATGTAAATTGAAAAGACCAATCATCATCATCAACAGCCTTTAATAGTCCACTGCTGTACATAAGCCTCTCCTTAGAAAGGAGGTTTTGGCCTACTATACCACGCTGGCCAGACGGGTTGGTATAGGGTTTGTGTCAAGTTTTCCTTCTCTCTGCGGTGCTGTTGTTCTGCGTAGTTTTTTCCCTTAGTCGGCTCTTACGACACCCACGGGATGAATAGGGGTGTGATGACACTCTGTATTCTTAATTCATCACCACACGGACCTGAAAAGACCAATAATACTCCATTTCTCCTCTTAAATTACTCAATGGATTGGAATGACGGGTCAAAGTGGTATATATGACTGACTAACATTATTTTCAGTCCTAATGTATGTGACTTCATTTCATTCATTTCATTTGTAATCGTGTACTGAAGCTTAAAATACTAAGCGTCGTATCTTTTCGTGGCAAAGAAAAAGTAAGTCAAAATAAATATGTCAAATGTCAGATGTATACATTTAACATTTCATCAAATGCAATAATGCCGCCAAATTGATTTTTGGTATGTATATAGTTCTATTCTCGAATTTTAAGAGATAAGTATCTACTCTATAGAGTCCGTGGGTTTACAACCAACTAGATAGTTTTGTGAATATGTCATAAATATAATTAACTACAAAATTATGCCACTGAATAAATTTCTATTTATCAATACAGCTCAACGATAACGTACCTTTGTAAATTTTTTACTCTGTTTTTAATTAATCTCTTTTGATATTGTAGATAAGGTATGACAAGCTTTGTGGAAACAGATCCTGTGACAGTGGCTGATGATACAGTAAACGCGCATGTTAACCTTAATATTGACTATCAGAAGAATTGGCAGCGTAGGCATAGACATGTTTTGAAGTCCAAGGAATACTATTGCAAACTGAAGTGTAGTAAATTACTTAAAAAAAAATTGAAGAAATATAAACTCAGACAAGATGGCACAGAGGATCCAGATGTCTTAGATGTGTCAAGATCATTAGTATCTTCGTTAATCATCAAATCACCAACCAATCCTAACAACCATTTACTTGAGGAAGGTGACTTAAATCATCTTGATGAATTGAGACCTAAAAACTATTTATTCAAAATGGTGAAACGTAAGGAACCCAGTCAAACAGGTAATGTGAAGGATGCCACCATACATGAAAAACAAAATGAAGGTATTCAAATAGCAAATGAAGCTGCTACAGGAAAAAAACACACCAATGCCTTTCAGCTACTAATGGATTCTAGGAATAAGTCTATTGGTAGTAACTCTCCTGGCAAAGAAAGAAGTGATGATCAGTCTGACAATGAAGATGTGATAGAAAAGAAAAATATTAAGATTAAAAGGAAAGTGTTACTAGAAAAAATGGCAGAAGCAAAGGGATACCAAAAAAATAAAGAAATTGAAGAATACCATGATAAAATTATTAAAAAGAAAATGGAGAAAAGAGCTGAAAGATTAAAAATTATGATTTTGAAAGAAGCCAAGCCAACTAAATCAAATGGCAAAATAACTGTTGAAAAAGAAGCTGAAAGCTCAAAATTAAATAGAAAAGATGAAGCACAAAATACAAATTGTAACAAAGACAAGAAAAAATTAAAAACATTTACCATAGTAGATATTTTTAACACAATGACTGATCCAGTTACTGTGAGTCCTGAGAAAAAGTGTGTTCCTAAAGAAGATAAAGAGTTTCTTCAAAAGTTATCCCCATCTTTGAGAAAAAAAGAAAGTATGCTTAGTTATTTCAAAAAAGTTGATAAAGAACCTGAATGTTCTCCAGTTGACTCAGACAATGATAACCTCCTTAAGGTGAAGTTACAAGTCAAATCAAAAAAAAAGGGCAGAAAGAAAAAATTGAGTCTTAAAAAAGAGCCTTTTGAAATAGAGGATAGTGTCAAGCTTAATGATGAAAATAAAGATATTGCTTCTAATTCAAAAGCATTGTCTGAAGTCCTTCTTAAAGATGTTGAGAACTCAGAATCAAAAAACTTTAGTGAGAGGCAAAAGAGAAAACGAAATGGTAAAAAAAACATCTCAGAAGAGATAGAGTTTAATAATGATAGCCGGCCAAAGAGATCTATAAAAAAACCAGTGAAATACACTGATGATGCATGCATATCTAGTTCTGATGATGAGTTACTCATTTTCACACCTAAGAAGAAAAGATATGTGGATAGTAGTACTAATTCTAAGATAAGAAATAATAATAAAACACAAAATGTACTACATGAACACAACAAAAAACCTATTATTGATAAAAAGGTCAACGAAGAGACAAATACCGCTAAAAAATCAGTCAAATTGGCACCCATTTTTGCAACAAAACAGTTAGATACTGCAGCTTTAGAAGCAAAACAAAAATTTCTACAGAGTGGAGTCCCTGATAAATTAAAGAAAATAATTCAACAACAAAAAATACAAAGTGCAATGAGCAATGACTTTCCAGTTGTAGTCCATGTACAGCAAAGGCATTCAGACAAAGATGAATTGGAACAAGTACAGCCTAATATTTATGAAGAAAGCGCTGATGTTAATCATGATTTTACGTTATCCAATATTGACAAAGAGGCATATAAAAAGTTATTAAACCTTCAAGTTGTCTCTGAAATAAGCTGTATGGACCATAATTCAAAGAAAAGCATCCAAACGATATTACAAAATATAAAGCAGATTCATCCAAAGTTTCCAGTTTATCGAACATACAGATACCTCAGAGGTAAGAGAAAGGGAGAGCTTAAAGACTGCAATCTTGATTTTAACAATAGTATTGAAATTATAAATGATGAGGTAGATATTATCAGCAACAGTCCAGACAAATTGAATTGGACAGACAAATATAAAGCCATTTCTACTAATCAAATAATAGGTAATTTTGAAAGTATCAAGGAATTAAGAAAGTGGTTAGTGTCTTGGAGTGAGAATGAAATCAAATTAAATTCTAGAAGGAATTCGAATTCTGATTCTTCTGATTATTACCAGTCTGACACAGATAGTAGAGATAGTTTGAAGACTACGAATAATCTCCTGATACTGACTGGACCCACAGGTTGCGGTAAAACCTCTAGTGTTTATACAGTAGCTGCAGAGTTAGCCATTAAAGTCATTGAAGTTAATGCAAGTAGTAAAAGAACTGGTAAGATAATGTTGCAAGACTTGCAGGAAGCTACACAATCCCATAAAGTAAACAGGGGTACAAGTAACACCGATAGTAGCCAAAAATCACAAGAAAAAAATTTGACAGAACTTTTAAAAAAGAACAAAAAGAAAGGAAGACCAAAAAAATCTACAGAAAAATCAAAAAAGAGTACAGAAGAAAGTGTTACATTAAGTGCTACACCTTCAAGTCAAGAAAGTGTAAGAACTGCTATGTCGCTTATTTTAGTAGATGATGCAGATATTGTTTTTGATCAAGATGATGGTTTTACATCTGCTATTGTCCAACTAGTTCAATCTTCTAAACGGCCAGTAATATTAATTACGTCGTCACTAGTATGCCCTCATTTGCAACGATTTTTTTTAAATGGGAAAATTTTGAAGATGTCTCCTCTGTTGCCTAGACCTGTAGGTACCTGGTTAGATATCATGTGTTTAGCTGACACTGGCAATAGCTGGCCAGGGCTTGGTGCGAATTTTTTGAATTATTTTAGGGGAGACATAAGGAAGACTATAAATTACTTACAGTTCTATGTATCAAGTTCTGCATATCGTTCGATTTCTAATGAAGAAACAGCTTCTCAAGATGTTGATTATCCTAAGACCAATATTGATGATGAGAATTCAAATATGTCTTGGGCAGATCATTTAGACTCAGAGGAGAGAAAGCTAATACCAAATACTTCTAACTCTAATGATGTAGGACCAAACTCATTGTGGGTAGATTTTGTTGATGGACATTTAAACTTGGCAAGGCTTAGATATCCAATACAGCTTTTTGATATCTGGTGGAGTTTGCCACATCTATTGAGTACTGAGCCTACTTCACAAGATGCTGCAATGTTAGTTACTAAATCAGAAAGACCAGTGCGTCATGAACTTGATGCAATTGCAAATGTTATGGATGCGATATCACTGTCAGACTGTGTAACACATACTCATCCACAATTAAAATCGGATACAACATGGCCTTGGTATACATGTGAAAGTGACAGTGTATCTGAACAGGACAATATAGACTACTATAGGAACAATTATGAGGTTACTGATGAAATTTCTCATACATTAGTGACAGGATATATTGCTAAAGCTCAAGATGTTTTAAGTTGTGACAGAAAAACAGACATTCAAATTCCTGGGATGTCTCTTCAAAGGTAAATGATACAATATATATATTTATTTTGAGAATTGTAGAGAGGATAGCAAATGTCTTCCTTCACTTTACCTACTTTTTCAAATAGACAAGCCATAGTAGTTTTTGAATAGAAATTAAATTTTATTATTTACCAAAGATACCTTAATATTTAAATTTATCATCATTAAAAAAAACGCATCAAAGAAACTTTAAAATTAAGAGTACCTATAAAAATATGTTTATCAGCAGTGTAGTTACCATGGTAAAGACTGTGCAATTTAAGTTCAGATGGCAGTGTGTAAAGTGTCTTATGTTATTGCTATTAAATAATACTTGTTGTAAAACTAGACTAGCTGGCGAGAAAGGATGTGGTCCAAGTGTACGCTTTGTGGGTATTATCTTAAAACTATTACTTTTTTTTGCATATTCATTTATCTTTAGTTGTTTCTAAAATAAAACTCACACCACTATTTAGAGGAACTACCTCTAAATTTTGCTCGAAGAATATAATTATATCACATTATTATCTAAAAAATTTAAAATGATATGTTTCCGTGAGCTATAATTATAGGTAAAAAAGGGAGTTTTCTTCACGTTATATTATATATACCTGATAATATTCTATTATGTTCTTATTTTTTCTTATATCATACTGTCATATTCTCTAACCATAAAAGTTTTATTTCTTCTTCTGTCAGATGGTAAATTCTCTGTCTGAAGTGTAAGTAACAAAAAGTACCTACTACCGAAAGTGGCCCATTGTAATGTAAAATGATTTCTGTTTCAGGGAAAGAGATAAGATTGTTACTCGGCACAAACATTTAACTTCCTACTTAAGTACGTCGTCAACATTAGATCGCAGATCGCTAGCGCTGGACTACTGGTCATCTTGTCGTACCATATGTAGAATAGAAAAATCCAAGACTGATACCCAAATTAACGCGAAGAGGAACAATCGTTTTTGCCACTATTTAAAGTCATTAAGTGTTCTTTGTAAAAGTGATACTTTCGATAACCTCTGTGACAGTCTGTCCTATCAAGGAACTGAATTAAAGATATCTAAGTTTAATGAATGACAGATATTCCTCTGTTTTTCTTGCATGGTTAAATGATAACGCTAATGTGTATTTTAATAGTTATTATCGTTATAAATGTTGATAATATCATTCGGTATTTGGGTTATGCAGTGAATGTTGTATGTTAGAAAAAATAAAGTTTACCAATTAATTTTAAAAGTTGAATCAATTCCTGCTATTTATAAATGTAAGTATTTATGTGTTTTAGAAAGATCACTTAGTTATTTCAAGAGAAAAAAATCATGCATTAGAAGTATAGATTAAACAAAGTATTTTCTACTAATAATTTAATTTTCCTTTACTTTTCTTTAAGAACTTGTGTAAGTTGTTTGTAGTATTAAATTATACATTTTAGATTAACTAGCATTTAAGACTTATTAAAATCTTCTATCGTTACAATTTGCTGTGTTTAAAGGTTTTTATTGTTATTGGCATTTCGTCACTGTAGTTCTAATGTTTAAAACTTTAGTGGTGGCTAATGTTTAAAACTTTAGTGGTGACGGATTAAGAATACACAATGTCACCACCCCTATTCATCCTGTGGGTGTCGTAAGAGCCGACTAAGGGAGCAAATTACGCGGGACAACAGCACTGCAAAGAGAAGGAAAACTTGAAACAAACCCTGTACCAACCCGTCTGGCCAGCGTGGTGTAGTAGGCCAAAACCTCCTTTCTAAGGAGAGGCCTCTGTCCAGCAGTGGACTGTTATAGGCTGTTGATGATGATGATGATGTCAACAATAACGAGTCAGACAGTTTAATGTGCCTAGAAGCAATACGAACGGTAGGAAAAGGATAGGCATACAAGAAAACGCATGCTGTAAAACTTCACTGACGATTTCCGAGGTAAAAAAAGATGTATGTAGTAGATAAACCTAATACTCTGCAGAAATCACACAACAGAGGGCCTAGTGTGAATTATTTCACATCAACTCGATCGTCACGGTGACCGCGGTCGTTCGACGTTGCGATTGGCCCGCACTGAAATCTTCACCATTCGCAACCATTCGAGAGCCAGTTGATGTGAAATAAACTAGCACTTGGCCCGCAGACACTTTTAGTAGTTTAATAAATCACTGACTGAATTTGGTATTTACATAGCTGAATCGGTATTTGTGTATTGCCACATTCGGCAGGCAATAGAGTGCAAATTAGTTATTAAGTAAATATATTATATTGCTGTTATGCTATATTATTATTGGTTGGTATATTAATACCAACTTATAATAGACGAACTATTCGAGTTTGTGTGTTTAAATGATGGCATCGAACATTACCTTGCACCTGAAATAATAACACCAATCAATCAATATAATTGTTGGTTCACGAACGCAAAAGCGAAGTGTCTAGATTTATAGTAGTCTCGTAAAACATTCCAGCTTTGAAATTTAAATTTGAAATTAAATAAAAATATGGTGGTCATTTAGCAACAATTCTTAGTTTGACGATACAAGGCAGCACCTGAAGTCATTACCCACTACTAACACACGTTAGGTCTCGATAAACTTTCTCCCTTGTATATACACGGTGATTTTGAAAGCGTTTTGGAAAAGAAAATTTTGAGTTATTTATCAGTAACAGAAGCTATATATAACGTTAATTTAATAAAATATATATTTTTTTATCATCAAAGTCGATATTCATATCGTTTACAGAGAAAAAGTCAGAACCAGTAGTAGTAGGCTATTCAATCACACGTAGGTAAATACTACGAATAGAAATACTATGCGTTTTAATATCGAGTCACATCAAATCGTATTCGCCAATAAAAACAAAGCTACCGAGTTGCGCCGGAGTCGTCCAACCAATGACGTCTGCCCCGTAGGCGCATGCGCGGGGCTCACCTGTCATCGTCAGTCGGTCAGTAATACCATAACATCGTGACGGCACGCTGCATTGATTAGCGCTAAAATGAGTCGACAGTACGAATTTTCAAACGTGGAATACTTCTTGGCAATGGTACAGCTGTACGCTACTGCCAACTACAACTTGGAAGAGGCTCGGCGTTTGTATTCCCAAGCCGGAGCATTTAAATGCACTACGGCTACGTGGAATTGAAAGCCCTCAAATTCCCTCCACACCTACCATCTTGGCTGCAACCCAACGTCTTCTCGACCACGGACAATTTCGTGCGCCTACTCATGCGCAAGGTCAAGGACGTTTTAATTATTATTCGCCGGAGTGTAGTGCGTGCATACCTGGACAATGAGCTTAGTGATCGGACTTAACGCCCCTGGATTTTTTCTTATGGTCGGAAATAAAAAGACTTGTTAATACACGGGAATATGAAAGCCGTGATAATTTACGCATTGCGATAGTGGACGCTTTAAAGTGAAAAGTGATAGAGACACATTAAGAAAATTAAAAAACAATTGCATTAAACGTGGACGTTTGTGTATTGAATGCAGCGGACTCCATTTTGAGCAGTTCCTTCGATACAGAGAACTGTAAATAGTGTAAATAGGTATGTAAGTTAATTATTCTGTAGATAGCTCCGATTTTTTAAATACGCCTGAAATATTTATACCTACAGTCCGTTGATAAATTGATTTGTTGTGAAAAGAACAATCGTGGTTAATAATCGAAAAGAAGTTTAAATAAAATAGGTATTTCTGACGGTCCTAAGCCCGTGTAAAGTATGAAGGACAAATTGGAGTCTATCTACGTAAGTACTCGCTAGCTCGCGCCTATAGGTATAGTTTTGTCAGCTGCTGTTAGCGTCGGCGGTGCGCAGCGGCCGCCGAAACGCCCACGGACGTGTTTCATTCATATAAGATAATGAATGAACGATCAGTCCATTACTACTTTCCAAGTCGATCGAGTAAAAATGAATATTAAAACTGAAACTTTTTTTTAGACAACGTTACAATTGATTTAATCATTTTTATTGGTACTATAGATGATTCCAAATTCAAATATTTCGTTTCCAAAACGCTTTCAAAATCACCGTGTATATATAAATATATATCTATGTCTAGGCTTATTTCTTTTAGTCGCATTCATTATCCTTCATACTTCTTTAGTTTATGTCATCTTCCTTGGTATTTAGCAGTTTCTTGTTACCGCTATTTTTTTTTGATTTTTTTGTTTATCAACCAACGCATCTGTGGTCCTCATCGATAGACGTTTCTTCACTACTTTGCATCAATTAAAAAGTAGACCGAAAGAAAATGCCCCCAGCATTAAGTATACAGTTGTACATATTTTTGGAGAGTCAGTGTCATATTTTAAAATGGACAAAACAAACAAACGAAATTATTAGGTACAATAAAGTGAGTTTTATGCAAGTGTCATACGGTGCAGAGCTCCTTAACTAATGCAAACACTCTTTCTGACTCGAGTCACACATTGATATAATAGTACCTACCGGGTTTTTATAACTGTTCGCCTTGTCTAAAAAAAGAATTTTAAAACTTGGTCCACAATGTTGGTGAACATCCATAAAAAAATACACACAGTAGCACATAGAATCTCCTTTTTTGAAAAAATACATAGGTACCTATGTATATAAATTTTGAGAAATACAAAAAGTAAAGACATACTTACACACATACATACTTACAATTTATATTATATTTTTTCAAAAGATTTTTCATCACTCTATACAAATTTCTATGCTACTAAACACTAAACCAGTCTTGGAAACACTTATTCCAGTCTTCTTCCGACAGGTCAAAAATGGCTGATTCGTAGGCAGCCACCGCTTCTTTGGCACTTGAAAAGAATACAATACAAAACTTACCTTTTATTTTATGGTGGGGAATAAGAAGTCATAAGGAGCTAAGTCGGGGCTGTAAGGTGGGTGAGGTAGGATTTCAATACCCGATTCTTGAATGAACGCTATTGTTCTGAGGAAAGTGTGAAGACGCATTGTCGTGGTGCAGCATCATTCCCTGGAATCCGGTCTTTGGTTGTCTCTTCTGCACAGCTTTGAAGACTTTTGGCAATGCGACTGTAGTGTATCATTCTGAGTTAACAGACTTACAATTCTTTGGCATTGCTGTTGCAAGATGTTCACTACGTGAAAAAAACACTGGCCACCATTTTTTGCCAATGTTCCGCGGTGTTTGCAATTTTGTTGGCAACTGGCCCTCTGGAAACACTCATACCGAGGAACGTTCTTGCTTTCCGAAACACGTCTTGACTTCTCATTTTCAAAACGTAGACACATCTCACACCATTCCACACGGGATTCTTTTTCCGTTTCGGAGAGCAAACGAGGTATCCAAGGACAACAAAGCTTCCTTATTCTAAGATGTTCTTGTAATATGGTATGAACAGAAACCGAACTGATGCCTAAGATTTTGTCTATGTCCCTGTCTATAATTCGTCTGTCATTTCGCACAAGCATTTTACTAATCTACACATTTTCAGCAGAGACTGCTGCTTTTCCCCCATTTAAATTCGTTAAACTATTTAAAAATGGTTGTCCGAAAAGGAGCAGACTCACCTTAAGCTGATTTTACTTCTAAGCTTAAACCTTCAGATAAACCTGAATAAACTACCTACATTTAATATATCACAGCACGCAAATGTTTATGTTTAAGCTCCATTGTACGAGACGAAAAAGCGGGAAATGATGTCGGTATAATACTTCTAATTTTTCTATTTATTTATTGCTGTAAATAGCCTTTTGTGTTCAATTTTCAGATAAATTTGCCTTTTAATAATATATGACACAGATGCGTTCTATTTTCAAATTTCGTGCATCTCAAAACTTATACAGTGACCTATGTACACTATCATGTCATTGTAATTGAATTAGATAGGAACAATCAAACTCTATACACATCGTTATACACTGTCGTCCAGGGGTGTTTGCCCTGTCGGTGTACCAGGGATTTAATTCCTAGGGTACACCTGGCTCCCAGCCTATGGGTACCCGAGACGGCGTGCGGTTTTTTAATCGGTTTGTGTCCGAGGGAATTTCCGCAGAGAAAAAAAGGGATATTTACCCAATATTCTTTATAATTATAAAATAAATGCATTTGAAAAGATGTTT